GTCTCAGTGGGAAGGCACTAAGATTTAGGAGGACTGGGAAAGACTTCTTGCAGAAGGTGGGACTGTGGTTAAGACTTCAGGGAAGCTAGGAGGTGGAGATGCCGAGGGAGAGGCATGAGGGGCACCACCAATGAAAACATGCGGAGTTAAGAGATAGAATGTAATGTGTGAGGAGCAACAAGACCAGCGTCACTGGAGTGCAGTGCACGTGGTGGGTGGTAAGGCGTAAGCAGACCGGAAGGGCAGAAAGGGGCAAGGTTGTCAAGAGCTTTAAGAGCCAAAGAGAGCATTTTATATTTGCTCACATAGTGAGAAAGTATCAGAACTAGGACCTCTGACTCCAGGACCTTGGCTCTTCCTCCTCCCAGATGTGCTTCTGTCTCTAAGCACTTTACTCAGCTGCCCCCTTGCCCTGGAACTTCCCTCAGTGCCTCTGAATTTCTCATGTAGCTTCACTACTTTGGGGCTTCGCTAACTGACTTCTCCGCCATGCCCTGATGTTGGGTACTTGCACCTACCCTGAGATTTTCAGCTTTCTTTTATATTCTGTCTTCCCCATTAGATTGTAAGCTCTTTGAGGGCAAAGACTGTTTTTTTAAATTTTTGTTTATTTTTATTCCTATGCCTGGAGCAGGGTAGGTGCTTAATAAATGTTCATTTGATTTTGAGATAGAGGGCCTTGGGGGTTCTCACTCTCACTATCCCTCTTCCATTCTGGCCCACTCCATGATGATCTTTTGGGGATGATCTCAGGCCAGTCGTGCTCCACTTCCTTCCTGGCTGTGAGGACTTTGTCACAATGTCCCACACTCCAATCAGAATGTAAGATCCTTGAGTGCTTAGGATAGTGCCTTGAACATGGCAAGCATTTAAGTGCTTGTTAACTACCTACCTGCCTGCCATGACACTCTCCTGCTTCTGCTTCTCACAGACCTCTAAGGAAGGTTGGACAGGTTTCGTTTCCATTTTATAGATGAGGCAAATAACATCCAGAGAGATTGAATCACTTTCCCAAAGTCCCATGGCTAAGTGGCATAGCCAGGACTGGGATATAGGTCTCTTGCTTCCTAAGCCTAGGTCTTAATTCTTACTACATCATTTACCACATAATTTCCTTAAAGTCATGAGATTAGCAAAGTGAAAATTATCATGTTGAATGAATATCTACATATACATATATAAATATAAACATGCACAACTGTATATATGTACATATATACATATACTTTATATCCCCCCAATTGGAGCTAATTTTTGCGTTTTAGATATATTATTCCCTTGAGCAAAAACTAACACACTAATGGTCAGACTCAACCAAGAGCTACAAGTATCAAGAATCATTAAATCACCAACAATTTAGTGCCAACAAATACTTATTTCTTACTTGAACCTAAAACCTGCATATTGCCACCATGATGCAGAGTCCAAATGTCCTTGATTCTCCCCTTCCTGGGAAAGGCAAAAATCACTGAACCTTTAGAATGATGCACAAGTGGATATTATTTCCCTTTCCAATAAGTGGCTCTCCTTCTCATAATGTAGTTTTCCATTTGGGGCATATCAAATTGTATCATATACATCAAACAATGCACCTTAGATATGACAGGCACACACATGTAGTATGTATCATAAGCTCAGCCTAGGCAAAAACTAACACCATTCCTGCCTGGTACCCCTCTCCCTCCCCGTCTCTCTGTCTCTCTGTCTGTCTGCCTGCCTCCCTCTCTCTCTCTCTCTCCTCTCTCCTCCCTCTCTCTCTCCCTCCCTCCTCTCTCTCTCTCTCTCTCTCTCTCTCTCTCTCTCTCTCTCTCTCTCTCTCTCTCTCTCTCTCCCTCTCCCTCCCTCCCTCTCTCTCTCTCTCTCTCTCTCTCTCTCTCTCTCTCTCTCTCTCTCTCTCTCTCTCTCTCTCCTCTCTCTCTCTCTCTCTCTCTCTCTCTCTCTCTCTCTCTCTCTCTCTCTCTCTCTCTCTCTCTCTGTCTCTCTCTCATTCACAGATGTCTTGATTCTGAATGTCAGGATGCTAATTTAAGGTTCAAGTAGTAGAACACTGAGGTTCAAGTACTAGAAAATAGTAATTCAAGTAGTAGTAGAAAAAAAAGTTGGTTCCTTCAGACTCAACATCAGGGATCACTTGTCTCTAAGAAAGCTACTGTTTTTTTTTAACATTTAATAATTGCTTGCTATAGTCTATAGAGTGTCAGATAATCACAGGTTTAGAGTTGGAAGGGGTACCAGCAAACAACACGTTTAATTCTCTCCCTTCGACTTTATGAGTTAGAAAACTGAGCCCCAGAGAGAAATTAAGTAACATGACTAAAGTAACACAGATGCCAAAAGGAGTCAGGATTTGAATCCAGGTCTCTACCTCCAAAACCAGTATTTATTCCACCATATAATGCTGTCTCTGCAAATTATATTTAAAATTTAAGTTACTTTCAAAATATTCATAGACAAAAAGAAGTTTGGTATCTTCAGAAGTTCTATGAACAGAAACACCCAAGCTGGAAAAGCACTAAGATTCTAGAGCTAAAAGTCAAAACATAGACAAGGTAGAAGCAGACTGGGGTATTGAGGTGGATGAATGTTGGGTCTTTTCTGACTAGTGAATAGATCATCACTGAGGAGACTGAAATTGTTACTATTACTCCCATCTTTCTTTTTAAAGGTTTATCTTGGAAGATGGCCGTTACCAGATGGAGCAGGTCCCAGGAGATTATAGAAAGATATCATCCAGTGAAATAACTCCCAGATGCTTGCTGACACCAACAGAAAGAAATCCAGATAGAGATTTTATCTAAAGTATTAGCTTAAGTGCTTAAAGGTGTGGTACCTGAGGGGGCACCATCTGTAGGTTGAGGTGCTAAGCTCTTAGGTCTTTCTGGTTCTGGGTACAGGATTAGCAGAGATGTAGCAAACTCTTCCAAACCTCTAAGAGGCAAAATAGCTTGAGGCCCTCTCAAGCCAGAAATGCTAGCAACTTGTAGGGCCAAATATTCACAAGCCAACACTCAGAGCTGTTTTGCAAGGAATGACTGGAAGAGTCAGTGTGAATTCTCCACAGGTATGTGTATTTGTGTTTATGTACGCATGCATGCTGGACTAGAAAGAACTCTCTAGTCTAGTAGTACCTTCTCTGTCCTTTAACCTCATAAGAAGAGAAAAGGGGAAGATATAAGATAAAGAATATTGCATGCACACACACAGAGTATTTGGAATATAGTAGGTCTTTAATATATGCTTGTTGATAGATTGGTAATTTATAAAGAAAGTACTGATACACACATATATTTGTGTATATATATATATATATATGCATCTATATACACACATATAAATATTTGTGTATATATGATCTCATACATATGTGTGTGTATACATACACACACACACACATGCACACATATATACCCTGTTTTGGTTTTTTTTTTTTTCTTGGCAAAGGTACTAGAGTTGTTGACATTTCCTTCTCCAGCTCATTTTACAGATGAGAAAACTAAGGCAAATGACTTAAGTGACTTGCCCAGGGTCACATAGCTAGCAAGTGTCTGAGGCTTATTTAAACTCATGAAAATTAGTCTTCCTGATTCCAAGCCCAGAGCTCTATCTATTGTGCCACCTAGCTGCCCCATATAGATACCTTTATTATTCATCCAGAGAACCTTGTAGAGATTCCTCACCATCTAGTAGTAGATACTTAAATTACTGGTATAAAATCCTTGAATACGGGATTTAATTCAATACATATTTATTACATACCTACTAAGTGCAAAGCCACTATGCTAGGTGCTGAAGATGCACAATGAAGAAACAACAAAGTCCCTGCCCTTGGAGAGTTTATAATCTAATAGGAGGTTATGTGTAGAATGTAAAAGAAACCCAGACAATGTTCAAGGAAAATCCGAGGAGGGAGAAGAATTTTTAAGCTGGAGAGCCAACAGAGGATTTAGAGCTATAATGGATCTCAGCAGACATCTACCCCAATCCACACCCAAAATAAAATCCCTGCTAATTTAACCCAACAAGTGACCATCCAGCCTCCACATGAATATGTAAAGGAGGATTCCTATCACCTCTTGAAGTAGCCTAGCCCACTTTTGGACAGCTCTAATTGTATAAAAGTTTCTGCTGGCATCCAGCCTAAATGTACTTCTGTTTGACTTCAACCTTCTGTTCTTGGATCCGTCCTCCATGTCCAAAAAGCAAGAGTCTACTTGATCAGGGAAGACTTCATATAGAAAGTAACACCTGAACTAGGCCTTCAAAGAACAGGAAGATTTCCACAGGTGGACCTTAGTACACAGTGTATTTCAGACAATAGGCTTAGCTCTAGTAAATGAGTACACAGAGACAGAAAAGGGAAGGATGATAACAGAAAATGGCTTGTAATCTAGTTTTTCAGGAAGGTTGGGAGCATGGGCAATGATAGTGTGAAAGTTAGATTATATTCAAACTTTAGAGCAGAACAACTTGACAATCCAACCCTGTTTTGGGGGCACACATGTAATATTCTTTACCCTTTTATCTTCCCTTTTTCTCTTCTTCGGAGGGTAAAGGACAGAGAAGGTGCTACTAGACTAGAAAGGAAATTCTTTCCTATTGAGATCACACCATATATTCTTTCTTAAAACAACAGATATATGATAGATAATTGTGACATAAACAGAGCACTTATTTTATGAAAATGAAAGTCATAACTCTTGACAAAAGTCATAGGAAGGATATAGTACATACAGTCTTCTGTGCTGATAGACGGTAGGAAGAAAAAAAAATAGAACGGATGAAATAGGGAGTCATTCTGCTGGAAGCCAACTCATACCTCTCTTCTTCACATCCCATATACTGTTTCAGAGTAGGACACTCCCTGAGACTTGCCTTACCCTATTAACACTGGAACAGAGGTAGGCAGGGCTGTGAAGGACTGAGCTGTACAGGGCACAAAAAGAGGCAAATAGCTCATATCCATCCAGTCCCCCCCCAAACACCCCACTTCCTTCAGTTACCTTGCCCTGGTGATCATGCTTCATTTCCCAGCCCCTTGGCAGCTCCAGCTGTTTGTTAGCAAACATGTTGAGGAATCCCACTAGGTCTCGATTATGCTGGTAGCGTTCAAAGTGGTGAGTGTCCCGCCGGACTTTGGTGATCATGTGCTTCAAACACGTGTTGTTTGTAAACATGCGATAGGCACTCTGGAAAAAAAGTATGAAGAACCAAGAGTTAGTCAACATCGACAGGTACATTCAACAGAAAACAAAGAAAGAATAAAGTAAAATGGGAAGAGAAAAAATTCAATTCAGCAAATTAAGTATTAGGAGATGCCACCCACTCTGGCCCTCTTGCCATCTGCCCTGTTGATACACTTCCTGGACCACCATGTCTTGGTAGATTTAATACACTCAGCTTTATAACTCCTTCCTGAGACCAAGAGAGCTGGGTTGGTAAGTACCAACTCACATAACCTCATATAATCCAGTAGGATCACACCATGTTTCATAACATGTTTCACATCCTATACTGTCTTGCCATCTGCCATAATGTGTTTACTATCCCCATCCTCATCCTAACTCTGTCAATCAATAAACATTTATTAAGCACCTACTATGTTCCAGGCACTGTGTGAAATGCTGGGAATACGAAAAGAGGAAAAAGATGGTCCCTAACCTCATGGAGCTTACAATCTATTGGGGGAGACAAGAAGCAAACAAATATGTACAAACTATATTCGGAATAAATAAGAAGCAAATAAGAGAGGGAAGACATAAAATTAAAAGGGATTGGGAAAGGTTTGGGCAGCTAGGTAGAGAAATGAATAGAGTGCCAGCCCTAAAGTGAGGTGCACCTGCTTTCAAATTCTGCCTCAGACACTTATTAGCCATGTGACCCTGGGCAAATCACTTAACCCTGTTTGCCTTAGTTTTCTCATCTGTAAATTGAGCTAGAAAAGGAAATGGCAAACCATTCCTTGTCAAGAAAATCCCAAATGGGGTCACAAAGAGAGTCAGGATTTGAATGTGTATACTGTGATTCCAGATTGTATGCCTTTTTCTACTGTACATGTTAGGGCAGGAGACTATCAGAGCAGTCCAGATGAGAGATGATAAGAGCCTGAGGTAGGATAGTGACAGTAAAAGTGGAAGGGAGTAGATAGATATGAGTTATAGAAATATAACAGATAGGATGAGGGATTTGATTGGTGATAGAGGGTTAAAGAGCAGGAAGAGTCAAAATGACTCAGAGCCAGACTCACACTGGCTATTTGGTGTAAGAAAACCCAAATTTCCTGACCCCGTAATTTCTGTAGCATTTGACACAAGACCACACTCTCCTCTTTAGGTTTTCATGATACTACTTTCTTGGTTCTTATCCTCCCTGCCTGATGATTCCTTTTTAGTCTCACATCTTCCATATCACAATTCTTAACTATAGATCGATTCCCCAAAGCTCTATCCTTGGCTCTCTTATCTTTGCTCTCTACAATCTGTGACTTGATCACCTCATCATCACAGATGGGTTTAAAGGTCATCTCTAGGAAAATATCTCTTAGATCCACATATCCAGCCTAGACTCCCTCCTGAGTGACAGTACTATTACTCTGATTAGACATTTCAAACAGATGTCCTATATGCCCCTCAAACTCAACATGTTCAAAATAGAACTTGTTTGTCTTTTCCCACAAATCCATTCCTCTTTGAGGGCACAACCATCCTTCCAGTCACCAAAGTTTGCCATTTCTATGTCACCCTTGACTCCTTACTCTCATCTCACAGATCTAATCAGTTACCAAATCTTGCCATTTGTACCACCACATCATCTCTTTCATATATCCCTTTCCCTCCACTCAGACAACTGTAAAAAAGGCCCCTAATTGGTGACCCTGATTCCGAGAAGTCTTTTCCACTCCAGTTCATATTCCACAAAGCTGCTGAAGTGATTTTCCTAAAGTACAGGTCTGATCAAGTCACTCTCCTACTCAATAAATTCCAAGGGCTCCCTATGTTCTTTGAGCAAATACAAAGACCTCTGACATTCAAGTTCTTCACCACCTGGACCCTACTTACCTTTCCAACCTTATTATACATTCTTCTTCATCACAGTCTAGCTATACTGGCTAGACTTATACATGATCCCATCCCCCATCTCTGTGCCTTTACACTAGTTTGTCCACCATTCCTAAAATATACTCCCTCCTCATCTCTGCCTCTTTGAAGCCCTGGTTTCCTTCAAGATTCAACTCAAGTGCCACGTTTTCTATGGGGCCATTCCTGATCTCTTCAGGTACTACTATATTGCCCCTCAGAAAGTGGATTTGATTCTATTTCATATGTGCCTTTATATGAATGTTTGCCTCCCTTGATAAAATGATAAAATGTGAGCTCCTTGAAGAGAGGAATTATTTCACTTCTGTCTTTGCATGGCAATATAAAGTATTATACAAAAAATAAGAACAGTGTGTAGCACACAGTAGGCACTTGACCAATGTTTGAAGATTGATGTACTTAAAACTCAGCTCTCTTTCTATTATCACATAATGGATAGGGCACTGAAGGAAGACTTCAAATCCTGCCTGAGAAAATTACTAGCTCTCTGTACCCGGTGGGCCAGTCACTCTACCTTTCATAGCCCTAATTGTTTTATCTATAAAATGGGGATAATGATAGCACCCACCTCACAGGATTGTTGTAAGCATCAGTGAGGTAATGCATGTGACATGCTTTGTCCATCTTAAAGTGATATATAAACGTCTGCTATTACTACAAGTAATATGCAACAGCAACTATACTGTATTTATATTTAGCCTCAAATTCTACTGAGAGGTAAAGAAAGATAAGGACTAAAAATAGGACATTGGACTTGGACCAAAAGGAGGTCATTAATGACCTTAGAGAGAGTGGTTTAAAAAAAATCAAGTATGAGAATAGAAACCCAATTTCAAGGGGTTAATAAGCTAGAACATGAGTAGTGGAGGGGCAGTGAGGTGGAGCACAGGACCTGGAGTCAGGAAGATGTGAGTTCAAATCTGACTTCAGACACTTACTAGCTATGTGACCCCGGGCAAGTCACTTAACCCCTATCTGCCTCAGTTCCTCATCTACAAAATGAGTACACACTGGAAAAGTAAATAGCAAACCACTTCAGTATATTTGCCAAGAAGACTCCATGGACAAGTCCATCAAGTCACAAAGAGTCAGACATGACTGAACGATTGAACGATAACAACACATAAGTAGTGGGGAATCACAGAACAAATGCAATTGAATCATTTTAAAAGTTTGGCAGCAAAGAGGAGGAGAGAAAAAGAATCATAGCTTGAGTGGGGTGGCAGGGTAAAGGGAAAGTTTATTATTTTCAGGACACTAGAGACTTCCAGTATGTTTGTAGGCTTAGGAGAAGGAATTGGTACAGATGGAAAGGTTGAAAAAATGCATAAGATAGAGGGTATGACTGATGGATCAGGATCATATTGGAGACGGAAAAGATCAAAGTCGTTGGTAGGTGGGTTAGCATTGGCAAAGACAAAAGCCAGCCAACTTATTCTCTAAGACCAGAGGAAAGGAAGATAAAATAGGTAGGAACACTGAGATGTTTAAAGATAGGGAGGAAGGGAGTAGTGGAAGCTCATGCTGGATGGCTTCAATCTTCAAAGTAAAATGATTCAACATGTTACTTTATATTTAGAAGTAATATAGTCTAGTAAAAACAGAGGAAATGTGAGAGTCAGACACTTGAGTTCCAGTCCTTATTCTGCTACTAACTGATGTGTGACCTGAGGTGATACCTTGCTCAAATTTTCATTTCTTCATTTGCCAAATGAGTATAAATCTCCTACCTCCTTCCCATGAGCAGAAAGATCAAGCAAGATAACCTAGAATGAGAGAGTTTAACTAATTGATCTCTAAATAACCTTTCTAACTCCAAAAATTTGCTAATTCCATGTCAAAGTATTTAAAACGTTTATACTATTAAAGTATCAGGTAGTATTAGATTCCTCAGTAGAATGTAAGCTCCTTGTGCAAGGACTGTTTTTCATTTTGTCCTTGTCTCCTCAAAGCCCAGCAAAGTGTCCCATACATGGTAGATGTTTAGTAAATTTTCATTGGATTTTATTGGACATTTGAAGCAATGTATGTATAAGGCAACTAGGTGGCTCAGTGGAGAGCACTGGGCCTGGAGTCAGGAAGACTGGAGTTAAAATCAGGCCCAGGCGACCCTGGGCAAATCACTTAACCTCTGTTTATCTTAATCCACTAGAGAAGGAAATGGCCACCCACTTTAGTATTTTTGCCAAGATAACCCCATAGAGAATCACAAAGAGTTGGACACAACTGAACAACTGAACAACAACATGTACATGTTACAAAGATGTAATGACTACTGGTTGTTTAAAAAAAGAAAATCTTGATGGAATACTTAAGCTGTACTTCCCATGACTTCTGGAGAGGTGAGGATGGGATGGTAGGTAGTTAGCATCAGTATCAATACCACTACTCTCGGGAAGGGGTCCACAGTATTCAAATCATTGAATGAAGGATATAAGGTAGATGCAAGGAGGGTCCATTGTTGGAAGCCCTGACCGAAAATCCCCTCTAAAACATCCCTAACAAGTGGTCATCCAGTCTTCGCTTGAAGACTTCTAATCAGGGGAAACCTACTATCTTCTCTAATTGTTTGAAAGTCTTTCCTTAGGTTGAACATAAATATTGTTGTTGAGTTGTTTTGGTTGTGTCTGGCTCTTCATAACCTCATTTGGGGTTTTCTTGGCAAAGATACTGGACCGGTTTGCCATTTCCTTCTGCAGCTTATTTTAAAGATGAAGAAACTGAGGCAAACAGGGTTAAGTCACACTGCTAGTAAATGTCGGAGGCCAGATTTGAACTCAGGGAGAAGAGTCTTCCTGACTTCAGGCCCAGCAGGCTATTCGCTGCACCACCTAGTGCCCCAGAACATAAATATACTTTACGATTTTTACTTGTTCCAGTTTTGCCTTCTGGGCTAAGCGGGGAAGTACTACATTACCTCTCATCAGGGGTCTTGAAGCAGAGACTGGATCATACTTGCTGGGGATGCGGGAGAGAGGATTCTCAGTTCGGTACAAGTTAGACTTAATGGTTTCTGAGGTTCTTTCTAACTCTTAGATTTTGTACATAGAGACTAAATTAGCAGTAGAGTGCTAAAGCAGAGTGAGAAACAG